ATATTAATTGGTTTAGATTCCCCCCCCCCAAGATAAATAAAAATAAAATTTTAAAATAGAACATAATTAATTTTTTATTTAATTATATTGACAACTAAATATTAATTTTCTTAGTATGCTCCAACTGTTACCAAATGGCTAATAAATTAAATGAGTCCTGAAAACGGCTTCGTAGATATTAATTTTACACCAAAGAAGTTGAGCCGTCCCTATTCATTCAATCACCAATCATTGGTGTCTCTATTTCCTGGAAAATTATTTTCAAAATTTTATAATTAATAAAAATTGTAATATTTAAGAACAAAATAAGAGAAATAAGAAATGATGTGGAAAATGTTTATTAATTATGAAATTGAAGTTTACTATTGCATGAAAAATAGTCTTAGAAATTTTCTAAAACAAAATGTTTAAAATTAAAAGTTTATGTATTTTAAAATTAGATATGGTTATTTTTTATAGATTGACTGGCTACGCAAATTTAGGTATATGATATTTTTAAAAAATACAATGACATGTGATTTTTGTAAAAAATAAATGGTATGATCCAAGTTGTGCATTATTTTAATCCTATAGGGGTATCCAAAATCCTGTATAAAAGACCTCATAATATGTGACAAAAAGGTAGCAACGTTCGACGAGTTGCAGTTTTACAAGCAATGGATAATATAATCTCCATGGTACAAAGCATGGAACCATTGCCGATAGCGCTTCTATTCATCGTTCCTTTCTTATTCCTCATCCGCCTCGTCTCTCGGCATCGTCGGAACCCATTTCCTCCGGGTCCGAGAGGGTTGCCGATCATCGGTAACATGATGATGATGGACCAATTAACTCACCGTGGACTGGCCCAGCTTGCTAAGAAATACGGCGGCATATTTCATATGAAGATGGGGTATTTGCATACGGTTACAATTTCTAATCCGGAAATGGCTCGCCAGGTGCTTCAGGTTCAAGATAACATATTCTCCAACAGGCCAGCCTCCATAGCCATCAGCTATTTAACGTACGACCGAGCGGACATGGCGTTTGCTCATTACGGGCCGTTTTGGAGACAGATGCGGAAGGTTTGCGTCATGAAGGTGTTCAGTAGAAAACGAGCGGAATCGTGGGAGTCGGTGAGGGACGAGGTGGATTCCGTCGTTAAAGCCGTGGCGGCCAACGAGGGGAAGTCTATAAACATGGGCGATTGGATCTTCAACCTCACGAAGAACATCACTTACAGAGCGGCTTTCGGTTCGAGTTCTCAAGAAGGGCAAGACGAGTTCATCAAGATCTTGCAGGAATTCTCCAGGCTTTTCGGTGCTTTCAATATTGCAGATTTCATCCCGTGGCTCACATGGGTCGATCCTCAGGGACTCAACACCAGGCTGAAGAACGCTCGCCATGCATTGGACAAGTTCATCGACACCATCATCGACGAACACATCCAAAAGAGGAAAAGAAACGTCGACGATGGCGCCGGTGATGTTGACACCGACATGGTTGATGATTTACTTGCGTTTTACAGCGAGGAAGCAAAAGTAAACAAATCGGACGATCTACAAAACTCCATCAAACTCACCAGAGATAACATCAAAGCCATTATCATGGTATTAATTACGTTATCTATTTATGGTTTAGTTTCATGTGGTATTTTCCTAATATAAATAAATATGCATGCATATAGTTCTGATGGGTGATAAAATTATTTTTAAAGGATGTGATGTTCGGCGGGACGGAGACGGTGGCATCGGCGATAGAGTGGGCTTTGTCGGAGCTGATAAAAAGTCCGGAGGATATGAAGAGAGTCCAGCAGGAGTTGGCGGAGGTGGTTGGTCTCGACCGCCGTGTGGAAGAATCCGATATTGAAAAATTAACCTACCTGAAGTGCGTACTCAAAGAAACCCTCAGGCTCCACCCGCCGATCCCACTGCTTCTCCACGAAACAGCGGAGGACGCCGTGGTGGCGGGGTATCAAATCCCGGCGAAGTCGCGCGTGATGATCAACGCGTGGGCCATCGGCAGGGACAAGGATTCATGGGAAGACCCCGAGAGTTTCAAGCCATCGAGGTTCTTGAAAGAAGGTGTACCGGACTATAAAGGAAGCAACTTCGAGTTCATCCCGTTCGGGTCGGGTAGGAGGTCGTGTCCGGGCATGACACTCGGGTTATACGCGCTTGATTTGGCCGTGGCTCATTTGCTTCACTGTTTTACGTGGGAATTGCCCGATGGCATGAAGCCGAGTGAACTCGACATGAACGATGTTTTTGGACTCACCGCACCTCGTGCAACTCGGCTCTATGCTGTGCCGAAGAAGCGCTTGATTTGTCCACTCTTTTAACAGAGGAACATTGATGAAGAAGACGAACGAATATGAAATGTGACAAAATGTGAGTGCCAAAAGGATGAATCTGAAAGTGGGATTTCGGATTTTTTTCTTCTTCTTTTATATATATTGTTGTTTTCAATACATTGGGAAAGAAAGGTTTGAAGAACAGATATATTAATAAATATTGTGAAGAAAAGAGACATTTCATTTGAATCCATGCATGCCATCGGTTCATGTTATTTATAGGTTTTAATTGAGTGAAAGTAAATTTCCAATTTCTTCTACTCATTTATTTTAGATAACTTATATTACAAAGAGTTACGTGGAAGCTCATTTTTGTTAACGTACGATGAGAGACGGTGATTATCGATGACTAGTTCATTTTTTATTTGGATGAAAAGTTGTAGACGATGATAATATAATATAGTATCTCTTATATGAATGTTATGGTGGGAAAGTAAAATAAAGAAGAAAAAAAATACTTCCATCATATTTCCGAGCTCGCCAAAAGAGATTAGAAGATACGGTTTGAATATGATCCACTAAATACAATTGAGTGACTGATATCGTGACAAAATTTACTTCGAAACAACTTTTTCGAATTCATATCTTCCATGATCCACCTTCTAAAATTAGGTTAGCATTCTCATAGACAATCAAGGATGCCATGATAGATGTTTAGGCTATTTTAAGTCTTTAGTTTTCTTCTTTTTCACTAAAAAAATGGTTCTCATACTCTCTTTAAGAAAGAAGAAGAAACCTCTTTTTATCTAGGGAAGAACTATATTTTTGTCCCTAAATTCAATGACAATTACAGTGTACTTATTGATGCTGATAGATAAAAAATTATATGATAATTATTTATTTATTAAGAAAAAATATATAACACGAAAATTTTAAAATAGAATAAATTTTCACAGGGTTATGGTGTAATGATTTATCCTTTTAATTTTAAGGGAGAATTATATTATCCAACTCTGATAACACTATGGCATTAAGCGTCTCTTGAAGAGTCTGAAAGATCTATACGATACATTAGGGACAAAAATTATTTTGATAAGAACATCCATATGGATTTCACCATATTTTATGGAAATTTTGTTGAATACCAGAAGTGGTTCATACGCACTACACCCATGTTGATGTATGACATGAAACACAATGGTTTGCGGGTGGTTGTCGATAGTTCATCTCTTCTAATTTTGAGTGGAGAATCGTAAGTGATAATGCCATAATTTTTTATACGAATGTCTTTGTATGGAGGAGAAAGAGAGAAAAAATGGTTCTAAGATCTCTCTTCTTGAAAAAGGGGAACAAACCCTTTTTGTCAAACGACCATAGGAAGTTATCCTCTCACTTCTATAGATATAGATGATAATTGTAAGAAGATTGACGATAATGATCGTATAAAAATTCGAATGAATATCACATATATCATATGTGTGACTGACTGTTCTCTCTGAAAGTCATTGATTCTAATGATAGAAGATTTCAAATATAATTAATGCTTGAGAGCATTGTTAATAATATTTTATCAATTTCTTTCCCCAAATGAATTAATATTCATTTAGTTTTTGTTTGAGTTTTATCGAGTCAAAGTGCAAGTAGTGGCCACGATCTCAAAAATTATATAATTGATATATAATCTCATAAAAAATATAAAAATATAATTTAATACAATAATAAAATTACATTCCGACCTCTCTAAAAACATTTATAATTTTATAGTATTTTTTTAATAATAGTGTCGAAAATGGGGAGGGGACAAGGTGAGTTGTTAGTGATGTTGAGTCGTTGACAAAGAGGGAATATTTTGATGGAGCTGTGAATCATGTGGGTGATAGACATCAAATGTGAAAAAACATTATCAAATGTCCAAAACAAAGAGTTTCGGATGTAGACATGTAGTTTTGTTTTACTATACCTTAATTTAAGATTAAATAATGATAAAAAAATAAATAAACGTGACTGAAGATGTTATAAAATCATATTATTTTGATTGTCATCTGAAAATGTTATAAAGAAAATTTTCATTCGAAAAATATTAAGAAAAATTAATATTTTAAATTGCATTCAACCAAATATATGATATTGTTATAATATTTTCGGACACATCTTTTTTTTCAACCTTAAATTAAATTGTATTTCTTTAAACTCTTCGGAGTTTCAGTCCCAAGACCGAAATTCAAATGGAAAAACTCACGTGATATGAAAGCAGACTGAAAGGATATAAAGATATACTTCCGTTTGTTGCAATATTTTAACCCAAAATGCATACATTAATATAATAATAAACCAACAACTACCTGTACTAAGCATCCCGTGTCCTAAGCATCTTGCATGTTTAGGTTTAGGTAGCTCGGGGAATAATAAGGGCATCATGAACTTGTTATAATTAGGGACGGATATTTCATACGAACTCGATAGATTTTGATTTGAATTGAATTTAGTTAGATCAATCTTTTATTTAAAAAGTTTAGGTTTGCATGGTATCGGATGCAAATTTTGACCTAAAAAGACGTCAAGTTTTAGATTGAAGAGTCATCCTAAATCTAGTCGAATCAAGGACAGGTAAAAAACTTTAATTTTCGAATCAGTCGGAAAACTCAACTCGTTGCCATCTCTAAGTGCAATGCTGGGTAAGTACTAGCTACTGTGCAACGGGTAACCTATAAGGTCCTGAGAGTAGGAATAATATGGTATTATTACGTGTAGCTTGAATGATACTACTGTTAAAGCTTAGAGTTAAATTTGGCAGAAATGACCAACAGACCAAGTAGCTGATACAAATAATGAATACAGAATGAATCGCCGTGGTAAAGACTAATCAAGGGTGCCAATAACTACATGATGCCCCCTTCTTGCAGTGACCCCTTTCGTAAAATTTACAAACTCGCTGCCCTTTGGCCGGTGGTCTGAAAGAACCAACACCACCATTCGACGACTGTCTATTCCAAGAGTGCCTGCCCCTACCAAAACTCGAATCTCTTACCTCGAAATATCGGTCCCTTGAACCAACATATCTCTGTTGGTTTCCCTAATCGGGCGGATGCCCTGTGGAAGGGCTTAAATTGATGCTTCTGTTTTCCTGGAATGCTCCTCCCTGAGCTGTCCCCGACCGACGTTATTAAAATTCACATTTCCGTGAACTGCTCCCGGATTGGTGCCTGTAGTTTCTGGCCCTGGTCTCCAAGCAGAATCTACAATAGCCATGCCCCAAGTTGTTATCGGGGGTGCAGGAGGTTGCATGTCTGAACCAGCTTCATACTGGTTAACCGAGGCATTGCTAGGCCTTGTAACTTCATCTGTTACAAGACTCGAAGAAGAATGCACGACAGAACTCCTATGAATATTAAGAGCTACAGACCAAGATACCCCAAACTGCTCATTGGTCAGAGTTGACTGAGAAGACGTTTGAGGGTTATTTCGGGAGCTCAAAGCATCGGTTTTTCCTGGATCAGGTGCAGGGCTCAGTCCTCCTATAGGGCTAAAACAATCATGATCAGAAACTTGTGCCAACTCTCCATCTGAACGCAAAATCGAAGTAGGTGAAGGCAAGCCATTAAGTGACTCCATCGCTTCAACTTCAGCCAATAGATCTGAAACAGATTCGTCAGCCAAAGAACACTCCCAACCAGATGCATTATTTGCATGATCTGTGGAAGAAGTATGTGCCAATTGGCTATTTCCTGAAGTTGGTGTGGCAGAATGATTTCCTCCCAAGTCAATTGGTTTCAAAGAAGAAACAGGCACAAGATCTGGCCTCCATTCCTCTGCAGAAGGTTTCGCTGGAGTAGAGGAATACCCACACCATTCACCAGCTACTTCAGGAAGCTGTGCTCCACTACTCACTAGACTCAGAACAGTACTCCAACTAGGACCTGAATCCTGATGAGGAACACTCAAAGAAAGAAACTGTTTGGTTTTAGTAGCCTGAATTTTCGAGTCTTGGTTGCTCAACTTTGATGTTGAGGTAGGAATATTTGAGAAATCAATATCCTGATTGTGCTCTGATTCCTCAAAATCCCTCGCCAGAGAAATAAGTCCAGAATTCAAATCCCATCCATTTGAAGTATCATTTAGTGGTGAAGATCTCTGGCTTTGCTCACACAATTTACCTGATTTTCCGTTGTTATCTTCTTGCTTCACATTTTCAGAAATAATTTGACCTTCATAGGTTTTGTTCAAATCCTCATTCATGTCAATTGAACCACATTCCCATCTTTCCACCCCATGACGGCTGCTAACTGGATGAGACTTGGTTTCACATGGTTTCTCAGATACCATAGATGAGGGGATGGAGCTACTCACTTGGGGCTGGCCAAGGAAGCAATTATCACTCTTCACAGGGTCCCAATGTCGTAAATGACTTCCCATCTGTTCTGCATTTGAATTGACAATATCTACTGAGGCATTACAAGGAGAAGATTGAGAGCCTGATTCTCTGCTCTTCACATATTCATTGCTACCACAATAATGATCACTTGAATCATTCTGCATTGATTTCGAACTCTCCTCAACCTGTTTGTTTTCCATCTGATTTGCATTGAGATCCCTACTCCCCCTAACATCACCATCTCTATTATGAGATCCATCACCAGATGCAATCTTTACGCCCTCAATTGGTATGCAGCTGTTATGAAACAACTGTTCTGCTTGGCTGCACTGCTTATTAAAAGCATTGGTTAAGAGAATGGAGTCATCCTGCTTCTCATTTGTTCTCCATATTCTCAGATCAGGAGGGAAAAGACCACTCGTGCTCCATTTATGTAATATTGACATAGAAAATGGCCCTTGAATTTTGCCCAGGGGGTCTTGATAGTGCCATATTTTATCTGTTTCAATATTATTTACAGATAGCTCTGGTACTGTAGAATGAGGTGGTATGCTAGCTTCTCTGTTTCCAATATCACTCAAGACATCATCTCCCTTCACTGGAGCATCACTGTTCCTATCAACCGTGATGGGTTGACCATCAACCCTTTTACTAATTTTACAACTCTTATCATCGGCAATTGTGGGTTGGACATCACTGTTCCTCTCAACAGCCAATTGAGTAGCATAACCTTTGGAGCCTCCTCCTGTTATGGTATCAACGAGCCTCGAATGATCTTTGGTGAGAAAATGTGAATCAAGAAGCTTAAACATTTCAAAGTGGCCCACCCTTGCTTTTCCAAACAATTTTATAAGCATTGTATCACAGACGATGTAAGATTTATTGCAAGGATCGCGAAGATTGCTTCTTGTTATGTACTCGAGCAAAAGTGCCTGAACATCAAAACGAGAGATCTCAGATGTGTCACCGTTTCTCATGTGTGCCACAAATTCAAGAAGCTCCTTTGTTGCCCAATTTAAGCCTTCAGGAATAGGCATCCCATTCATAACACCCGTTCCTTCTGCTTCTAGAGATTCAACTTTTTTGAAAAAGTTCTCTTGCCTTGTCGATTTTCTTCTCTTCGAAGAACTTGCTCCTAGGTCTCTAAAAGATTTTTCCGCATTACCACGTTTGGCACCACTACGGTTATTAAGTTCAACTGACGACTCTCCATTAGGAGCCATGATAGCATTTTCTTCCCAGGGATTTTTAGCTTGGGTAAGCTCATCAAACCTTAAAGATAATTTCTCTTTCAACAAAATCCAATAAACCTTGAAGAGATACTCCCAGCTAGTTTTGTCATCAAAATCCACTTGAACCTGCACAGTATAAATAAAAGGCCTTTAAGGTACACAAAAGCTATCCGCTCTCCGATAATATAAGCATACCAATTACAATAGTTGCCGAACAATGAAGCAAAACTAGTGGGAAAAGGCTGAGATGTTCACAGGAATCAATTGCATAAGCCGTAGTTAATCATACCGTTTCCTTATTTTCCAATCCGCTGTTTTCAATCAGCATTATAGTTCTCATGCAAGTTCCACAAAACCCTTTAGTTCCTCTTACATTCACATAATCAGCATCTTTAGTGCAATTCTTGCACACGGAGTACGTACAAGTATAGCACATATAATATGAAGCTTTCTGACAAGAGCTACATATATGCCACCCTGAAACATACAAATAGAACATCAGAAAATTAATGAAACAATCACTAAAACTTACTAATAAGTTATTAGTTTATATAAATAATATTAGCACAATAACTAATCCAGAAGCAAAAGTCCAAATCACTGAACAGACACGTACGCTACTATTCACTTAGAACAAAGAACCCAAACCAATGCAATGGTAGACACGGAAAGCAACCATTTGACAAGCCACCATCCAACAGTCCAACAGGCAAATGTTAATGGTGTGATATAACGTCTTAAATGAGATAAATAATCCAAGAATCACTTAAGAACAAAGAACCCGAAATGTGAGACAGGGAAAACTACCATTTGACAAACATGTGAACAGTAAGAACAACAGTTAACCGTGATGCAAGTAAAGAAAAGCATGAATCTGGATTAAAATATGACAAGCTTCAATAGTCCTGTAACATATGCAAACGAAACTGAAATAACATGACAAACATGTACAAGAGCTAACTGAAATGCAACATACCACAATTCCATTTCGCCGTCGATTTAAAGAATTCCTCATCCCTTTTGATACAGGCCGGATGGTATGCCTTAGGACAGCCCCTGATACATTAAATCCCATATGATTAGCCAAGTAAACAGAAGAAATGCAAAACTAAATAGGAACAGAAAACAAAAAAGCATTCATGGAGAGCTCCTGATACAATAAAATCCCATTTGATTAACCGAGTAAACAGAAGAATCGCAAAACTATACAGGAGCAGAAAGTAAAAAAAGCATTCATGGAGATCCCCCGATTCACAAAATCGTATTATATTCATCCATACGTATATATATGTGCGTGTGTGTGTGTGTGTGTGTATGCAAAACTATATAGGAGCACGAGGTAAAGTCCACAAAGTAAAATAAATATATCCCCATAACAACATTAAAATTTTAGGGGTAAACAAGGTTTTCAGACCAAATGTACCATGATAGAATTACTAATTACACAACCCTTCAATGAATTCTTTTAACTTTCATGATTCTTGGCATCTTAATATTGAAATAGGAAGTATAAAAAGATCAATTGTTAAAAATACAATCTTTTGAACTGAAACATTTATAAAAAAAATAAGAATGAAGTTGAAACTTTAAAATCAAAAGTTCTGTTGTGTCTCTAATCTTTTATAAAGTGATTCCAATGTGATCTTTGTGTTGACACACATGAGATTAAGAATAAAATGAGATACAAGTGCAAAATTTACAGGTAAAACTACTTCTAATTTCAGAACAAATTTAGTATTAGAATCAAATGTTGGAACAATTGGAAAAAAATAAGTAAATAGAAAATTCAATTAGAAATTGTCTTACAGATTTAATTATAAAACAGTCTCCAATATGTGTTTTTTTGTTTATTTAAACTATAAAATAGTGTCACCAATAAATTATTTATGGAATATCTTTTAATTGCTTCGAAATTTGAATGGTAAATTTAGTAAAATAACTGGACTTGAGTTTGACAATTTCAATTTGATTAATTTACTAAAACCATTTGAAATTTTGGTTTTAACTACTGCTAAGATCACGAATCAGCTACATAAAAGAGAAATTCCGATTCTCACCTGCGATCACAAAGCACCAGATTTCCTCCGTCGAAGCATATAAAGCAAACGTCTTCTTCATCGTCCGTGTTAGGCGGCGGTGCCGATGATGACATGATTCTCGCCTGATTCCTCGGCGGCCTTCCCCGCCTCCGTTTCCCCGTGCTCATCATCTCGACAGCTTTGACTCCATCCCCAGCCGGCTTCTCCACCACAGCACCACCATCTCCTCGAACCACCACGTCGGCGTTTCCGGTACCATCCATATCCGAATTCTTCCGATCTTCGATCAATGAACTCCCCTTTAATGATCACGATTCAAACTATTACCACTGTTAGCAACATCAGCGGTGGACAGGGCTTATACAGAGTCGTTGTAGATTCAACTTGTTGACAATTTTTCCCAGTCAACAAAAATGAAAAAAAAAACAGTCATAAATTATGAACTATAATAGTAAATAATTTTTCCACAAACAAGTCTTCTTCTTTTTATATATTCTATGAGGTCAACGAAAGAGTATGAACCCTAGAGGGATTGAATTGGGGTTGAGAAATGGTGGAGCTGTGAACAGTGGGGGCACATGGAAATGAATTTGGGAAAGGCACTGTTTGGTAGTAAAGAATAATGGATTAATCTCTTTGTTTAAAAAGGAAAAGTCGCCTTTCAAAGATAGAAAGATATGTTTGGTAGCTCGAAGGACAGCGCCAAACACGGCTCATTGATTTGGGCGTTGCTGGGGTTGAGTGATTGATTCTCTAATATCTTGCAGCTCTTAAGAACTACGGTTAGTCGGCACTACAGTAAGTAGACACATAAGTGGAATTGCCCAAAAAGTTCCTGTCCCACACTCAATCTCGAATTCCTTTTCCTTTTCACTTTCCTTACCCTTTTAACTTAGGTGTGTTTGTTTACATTAATTATTTTTGGCACAAAAAGAAAAATCATTGGAGGTCCCTGTATTTTTTAAAAACCCACACTCAACTCGGCTTGTTTATGACCTAATGATAGTATATATTCTAAAGATTCTCAATTATTTGACAATAAAAACTCAAATATCTTGTAATTCTAATTACTAGTGTTCGAATCTTGACCTCTAAGAAATCACCGAGGTAGTTTGGTTATTCTCAAAGTTTATATTTTATTTAGGTCTAATTCTAATTTTCATCCTTTCACTTTACAAAAGTTGAAAAATTAATCTCCTATTTTAATTTTTAAGAATTTAGCTTTGAATTATCATTTTGTTCGCCAACATGTCAATGCAGGTGCAATTACATCGTGTGTGCGTGTGTGTCTGTTTAAAAGATTAATTAGCAGATGGTCGTAAGAAAACAAAACAGAAACATCGATATGCCACACTACCATTAGAGCATTAGGTTTAAAAGAGTGGGAGGATGGCACAGTGACGGAGTCGAGAGTTTTTCTTACTTTTCTACTGCTGGTGCCACGGCCACTGCCGATTTGCCAAGGCCGGTGACTTTAAACCAATTCTGATCACAGGTGCGGGCGCTTAGAACGTGAATGAAGAAAGAGCGAAGAGTTATAAAAAGGTTACCAGAAACAACTTGCACAGAGAAGGAAACCACAAACACAAAAGCATTTTTAAATCAATACAACAGCAATAAGCTTACAATTGTGTCTGCAATTTCCTAACTGGGATGTTCCAGTGGAATTAATACAAAAGCATATAAAAAAAAAAAACAATACGAAAGAAGGACCGCATCCATCCATGTACTTCGTTTCAACCATAGGATATCACAACAGCTGCAAATACAGCAATATTGCTACACCAACAGATACTTCACAGAGATCCTGAGTTGTCAGTCGAGAAAGATACTCGGGAGCTTCTAATAATCTTTTTTTCACATTTTCTTTTTTCCAGTCACAATATGGAGCAGGCTTTCTGTGCTTTGCTCTTCTTTTTCTTCTGCTTGGGTGGTTGAAGAACAACTCTGATGGCTGCATCAAAAACCGCCTTCACATTCTGCGGAGAAGTCAACGAATCCCTTAAACATAAAGCATAGTTCCTTGTATGAAAAGAAGATTATCATATTTACAGAACAACATTTACCTCCTGTGTTTTTGAACTGCATTCAATATAAGCAGGTGAACCAATCTGCTTCCTCAGCTCCTCTCCCTAACAGATTCAGGAGAAAAAAAGGGAGAGGAAAGATAAGGGTTAGTTAGTTGCAAATAATAAAAAGTCCACACAAAGAGCAAAACAAGCGTTAACTGGATAATATTTCAGGAAAATTTTGAACTAATACGAAATCCTTTACCTGGGCAGTAGAAATGGGTACAGCTCCAGGATGATCGATAAAGAATTGCTTATCGTCCCGAAGATCTGGTTCATTTGGAAACACATGGAAAAGAAAATGAACACTAGAATTCACACAGAAACACATACATTTGTGGATCAGTTGATTATTCATGATGATCCAGCTAAGTCATTTATGATTCACTAAAATTTCTAGAAAAACTACTGAGAATCATTCTAATACTAAAAGCCTAACCACGGCATCAATGTCTAAAGTCTACAACTTCACGATTGAGAGCCTTGCCTGACAAATTTTTTGGAAGAAGCTACTTGAAAGAAAATTTTTGCAGCTATAGCACATTTAACGATTTAACTTACCAAGCTTAGTTCCAACAAGGATTATTGGAACACCAGAGGCATAATGTTTCAACTCTGGAATCCACTGGGGGAAAAGTCAAGAACATGATTATCAGCAAGCAATAAATTAAAAATCTATCTACACAGCAGTTCACTATGTTTGAATTTTTAGACCTAACCTTTTTGGAGACATTTTCATAACTGGCCCTGCTTATGAGGGAAAATGCCAATATGAACACATCCGCCCCACGATAACTCAGAGGTCTTAATCTGTTATAATCTTCTTGTCCTGTTGCCCAAAATTGCAAACTTAAACCCATCAAAAGAAACAAATATCTCTAGTATATACAATGGTTCAACAATGAGATTGAAAAACGAAAGCAAAAGGTTCAAGTGGAAAGTACCTGCAGTATCCCACAACCCCAAATTAACAGTACTCCCATTGACAACAACATTTGCACTGAAATTGTCAAAGACAGTGGGCACGTAATCCTGTTTTCCAACACAGTTAAAATGTAAGACAAATTGTAAAAATATTCTTAGTATCTTCCAACTGCCAAAACTCCTAAGATGATTATCAAATTCAAGACTAAATACACAAAGATGGAATCACAAAAGGGCCTGAAACCTTGTTTGGCAATTAAAACATTAAAGTGATTTTTCATATTTAATATGATTTTCCCAAATCGAAGTCACAGACAAAATCGGCTGAACAGTCAACAAACACTAAAACCAGTCTTCAACGAGAAAATCCCGATTCAATATCAAAGCAGACAGCATAGCAGCAGCTCAGAAAATTAAACAAAAAAGGCCTAATTTCAATTCACCAATTCATAAGATTTCCTATTATTAAAAACCAAATACTAATTCTTTTCCCAAAATTTAAACAGAACAAGTACAGTTCAACCCTAAACACTAGATTGCCAAAAGAAACACTTCGTGAGAGAGAGAGAGAGAGAGAGAGAGAGAGAGAAAAGAACAGACAATTACCGTGGGAAAAGTGTTGCTTGTGTAAGAAATCAGCAAACAAGTTTTACCAACGGCACCATCACCAACAGTCACACACTTTATAAACCTTGCAGCGCTCATTTTCTTTTCTTTTTTGTCACTCAAAAGAAAAGTGAAAGAAAATAATAGACTCGGATCTTAACACCTGAGGACAAAGCTTGAACCCCTAAAGAAAACTCCACAAGATTACTACTTTTCTCCTTCAATCAGTCATCTGAGTAGCGTATTTCCACCAAATAGGTATAACACTTAAAGAAAGACAAAGGGTTGAAGGAAACCAAGGCTGGAATTAAAGAAAAAAGAGGGAATTGGAGAATCAGCTAGCCCTAGGAAAAAGGGGAAAAAGGGAATTTTTCCCCCTGGATTTGAGCTTGTTTACGTTTTTGAATGTTTAAGACGGGAAATTATACCGTTTGAAAGCGTTCGTTGTGCTAATCTCTTCCCATTTTAGTTCCTTTTTAAGTTAGGCAAACTAAACTTATCATCACTCAACTTTTTCCATATTTCTTTTTTAGTCACTAAATTTTCAAATCATTCTTGAATGTTTTCTAAAATTTAATATTTTCTTTTCTATGACCAGAATCATTTTATTATTTTTCAATTTTCGTCCATTTTTCTTTTCTAATTTAATTATTACTAAAATATTTCTCTTGCTCTTTTCTTTTTTATAAAAACAAAAAAATTAAATTAAAATCAACTTATCTTATACTGATGTAATATACATTCTCTATTGTCCTATCAGAGTGAAATTAATATATATTATTTTTTCTTCAACTTTCACATTATTCGAATTTAAAAGAAAATACTTTGATGTCCGTGAATCAACAAGGGTCTAAAAATATAAATTTAAAAGAAAAGTTTATAATTATTTTAATAAAACGAGGATCTGAATATGGAATTGGCAATGTTGCTTAAATCATTGACAAGGTTTGTAAGGCATGAGTGGGGTGGGGAGGTAAAAAGCATTGCTTTCTTTCCGCCAGCAAAGGTCATGCCATATATGTGAATAAATTTGTATTTAAGAATAAAATTATAGCACGAACTGATCGATCACAGTAGTAAAGGAATTATTATTATTTTTTTAGGTCTCGAGTTTGAGCATCACGGACGTTAGTGGTGTTAGCGTTCAGTATTAAATGGTTGAGTGTTATATTAAAAAATATATATTTTTTTAAAAATCTGAATTTGAATAATTTTACCTATAAGATGCCTATAAAATATTAAAAAAAACTTAAATTCAAAATAATAATGATTTATATTATACAAGCTATTTTTATCCAATAATTAAAATTAGAATATAGATAGACTATTACATGGGCTTCAGGCAATTTACAGTGTGTCTTAAGACACTAAAGCAATAGCACACTGTCCAAGCATAAGAGTTTTCATCAGTAGATAAAGCAGCTTTCTAAGACAGGAAAATTTGGTTATGCTCCTAGGTTTACTAGACACGTTAAAAAACATGTTTTTTCTTCTTCCCCAAGAATCTTGTATCCAGGGATGCAGAATAGTCCTGAATTTTTTTTTAGATTTTTATATAATTTAAGTTCGTCCTTTGACATAAAATTCTACATCCCGCCTATTGCATTTGTCTCCGGATAGTGGTTTTGGTAGGCTGGAAACTTTAGGGTGATCTTTTAGTGAGTGAAAGGATGGTGGATACCATGAACTTGTAGTCGATCGGCTTTGTTAAATAAGCATCCATGCCAACCTCCAAGCATTTTGCCTCGTCCGACGACATCGCATGTGCTGTCAAGGCAACAATAGGAATGTGCCAACCCATCCCTGCTTCTGATTTCCTGATTGCTTTTGTTGCTTCATATCCATCCATCTTCGGCATCTGTTTAACACGGAATTCGAACTCCATTAAGCATTATTCAGTAGCTATGTAGTAGCTACTAGCCTACTAGTTAGTACTGCTTGTCAAGCATTATCTCAAAGTGATTTCTTACTTGACAGTCCATTAAAATCAAATCATATGGAGGAGAATCATGAATATCTGTCTGCAATCTGTCCCTTCTGTACTCTTTTTCATCGAGCTCACAGTTCAGTGCGTCTACCGCCTGCAGTCCATCGCCAACGGCAATTACCGTGGCTCCCATTTTTTCCAGCATGATGGTTGCTACTCTTTGGAGAACCGGTGTATCTTCGGCTAGCAGTATCCGTAGGCCTTCGAGAGATTTCTCTTCATTCACAACCTTACTCGTATACGAATTATCTCCATCTTTTGTACTGCTGCTGACACGATGTTGTTCCGGAGAATTGGAGATTTCGCATTTGGCATCTTCAGTGTCATGCAACTTGGGCCAGACGTTACATTCATCTTCTTCTGCCCTTAGAATGTTCATTTCTGAACCTAAACGTGTCATTTCGACCAGGCAATTCTTCGGTGTCTGGCAATTTGCTGTGTTGGATTTTACGGTTCCTTCTCTTGGTTGCTCCCCAGTATGCACAGCTCCGCCCTTTTCAGAAATTTCAGAATCATCAGAGCTGCAAGTCTCGAAATGAGTTGAATCGATTTCGAGACATTCATGAGACCCGCCTTTATTTCCCTTGGGACTTCTCTTGTGAATTTCAGCATGTCTCTCCTTTATGACAGCTTTCAAAATATGAAGCATCTTTGCCTTGTACAATGGTCTGTTAACCATCAATACATGTCCCTTCCTGCGGAGCTCGATCTTTATTGCATTGGAAGTATCGTGATTCAGCATCCATGCGAATGTCACTCGGCCGGAGAATTTTTCGAGAAAATTAAGCTGTTCTTTCCATATATCGGTGCTCAAGTCAAGCAACCCCATATCAACAACTACAATGTAAAGTAGGTTCTCCATGTCTTGTAGATTGTGTATCCTGGACCTCAGAGGTTCACCTCGTGAATAATGATCGTCAAAACCGCGATTGCGAGTTCGGGGATGAAACAGTTCATGAAGGATTTGTGTCAGTTCATTCCAGTCAGATGCTTCCAAAGTTGGCACTTCATTTCTTGACAGCCACTCTGACATAACCAATCTACCCATGCTGCCGTGTAGGGCAAGGATCACCTGCATTCATGTTTTATGTACGTTAGCTTCACTTGTTGATTTGAGCTAGGTTGTCTACTTTTTCGAACTAACGAACGTAATCAGCAGCCTGCCGGAGCAAAGCTTTACTCACCGCTACACTGTGATTAGCAAAATCCATTTGACCATGTTGCTCTGTGCCATCTGCAGGAGTAGTGAGTAGCAAGAACAGTCTGATTAGAGTTCCTGGACCATTCTTTTTTACAACCTTGATTTCTCCACCCATCTTGTTAACCTGTCATGTACAGTATGAAGCTATGATGAACAAATTAAAGGTTTCAGCATGGGTTCAACTTCACATGTACCGAAACACTTACCAAGGTTCGGACTATGCATAGTCCAAGACCTGTGCCACCATGCCTGCAAAACAACAAAAAAATCTTAGCAAAATCTCTGCACATTTAATTTCTTAATCTGTATATGCAGTTTTTCCACATCAGATTGCTTAAATTACTTACGTCCTAGTTGTTGAAGGGTCGGCTTGCTCAAAGCTCTCAAACACAGATTCCCATTTGCTTGGATCAATGCCTGCAGATCATGGAAGATAAATGCTACAGCTTCCATTTACAATACATATAATTCCTACTGTTTCCAAAACAAAAGAATCATACCACTGCCAGTGTCATCAACTTCGAACCAAAGAACAATTTTGTTGTCTCTCTTGCCGGCCTTCTTCATATGGTTTCCATGATTCTTCAACTTTGTCTTTAATGCAGACTTCCCGGAATAAGTAGACACATTGGGATTCTCACACCATCCACGCAGTATGATATGACCCGCTGAAACATTTTGACAGTTAATCATGCCAAGTTGTCTCTTAAGGTACAGTTCATCATCACCGAATATGCTTGAAAAAATATACTTGAGTTACTTATCTGCAATAAATTTTCAACTTACATGTTGTGAACTTGATGGAATTGCTTATTAGATTTGCAAAAACTTGAACAACTCTGGCAGAATCTCCTCTAACTAATTTCGGAATATCATCTGAAATCATTTAACAAAAAGAAAATGGCTCTTCAGATACATATGTACTTTTTTATCATGAAGTTTTGGTTAGATAAAAATTGTTGTCTCACCCACAAGTTTGAGTCATACCAGAGAGATCCAGAACAGTCTCCACATTGTGGTTGATGCACTGCACAGAGAACATATCGACAAGTCCTTCAAGTTCCCGCCCCAAGTCGAACTCAGCTTCTTCAAACACCAGTTTTCCTGATTCAACCTAAGAAATTTTTGGAGAAAATTTATTTTGGCTGTAATTTTCTTGGTCAGATACAAAAATGTCTTAACATAGATTGGTTTGTCCTATGTCTCACCTTGCTCAGATCCAATATGTTGTTAAGAAGCCGAAGAAGAGCCGTCGAGCATTTACGGATCTGGGAAACCATTGCATACTGTTCGTTCGTAAGATGGTCGTCGCAGATAAGAATATCCAATAGTCCAATAACAGCAGCCATAGGCGTCCTTAGTTCATGACTGCAATACAATAGATCCATAAGGCTCAGTCACTATGTATAACAAGGACTCGGTGAAAGTGTGAAGGCGAATTGGATCAAGTAATTGGTTACCTCATGTTTGCAAGGAATTGGCTTTTATAGTTGCTTGAAGCTTCAGCTTTTCTTCTTGCATTAAGATGACTTATCAACTCGGCTCTGAGTTTCATTTCCTTTGATACCCCATTTGTAAGTATCAAAATACAGACACATCCAATGAATAAGATACCTACAGATGCAGATATCAATATGATCAATGTTTTTATTGATCTTTCGTCAATCTTTCCCATTATATACTTTCTCGGTATGATGATGACTCCGACCTGCACCATTTCCGACCTTTTAGTGTCTTTCTAAACAGTTATAAACAATACTATGATCCAAATGCCTGAGTATGTTCTGAACATACCATAGGTAGTCTTTTAAGGTTGAGAAAAAACGAATCGATGTAATAATGCTGGCCGCCGAGATTGGCCTTCTCCACGTGTACGACATCGCCTGGGGGAAACTTGTTTCCATAGGCTTTCTGTAACCACTGAGCCCCCATTTGTATCATACGATCCTCGGAATCGGCGGCCATCATAAGCCTGGTCCCATTTGTAGTGTTTTTCAACAGAGGAGCGTTTGTGGAAGTAGCCAGTAGGTAACCCTCATGTGAGGTCAAATACATGTACCCACTATGCACTTCAACCAGTTCCTTCATCAGCTGACCTACACTAAAAAGGGCAGTGGTGACACCTACGACGGCTACGATACTCGTGTTGGAAGAGTCCCATACTGGAAGTGCTGCGGAAAGCAATGGTGAATCCGTATACTTGCTGACAGAGACGTGCCACGAAGCTACCCCATCAGGCACTTGAGAAGGGCCTGCAATATTGATAACCTCATCCGGTGGAATTGGCAGTGCCTTCCCTGTCTTTTCCCCACTGATGGGGTCAAGCGGTTCACGGTACCATATCGCAGACACGTTACCTTGAATGAATTGGTCGTTCCATCCTTGTCGCGTCGGCAACATTTTGTTGCTGCGAGAATCTGTTCCGCTGATCGAATAATTTGCAAGATCAGAGTAGATATAGAATGTACTGTTGTCCTTGTGATCTCTATGGAACGCCTGGACAAATCCGTTCTTGTAATTGATCGTTATGGCGTTGAGTGCTTTACGACTCACGAATAGTGCCCATGTCATGTCTTTCATCATCTGATATAGCTGCTATGAGTACAAGATATCAAACAAAAAAGAAGAAAGAAGAAAGTTTGCAAACAACAAAATAAGTCTCAAGTGTCAACCTCAACTTGCTCTGCCTGAGTGGTAGGTTTGTTGTACCGCCTGATAACATATTCCGATAACTTGACCTGTGCAGTCGTAATTTCCGACGTCGAATTTAAGATGCCCCACATCCGTAAGATAGGACGCTGAAGAAGTTCGTAACGAAGACTGAAAGCTAAGATCTTTAGTGATTTGGTTGTGTACATCTTCGTAAAATGCCATGTTAGAACCGTTAGCAGAGCAATCAAGATAGCTAGCATGACCTGAAACAGAAAAAAAAACCCACTGGTTCAATCGACTCGAGTAATCATCGACACGAAAATTTCAGCTTATAACCGTATGCTAACCATGATCGCGAGGCGAGCAACGAAAACGCTGTAGTACGACGAGAGACAACGAGCACTTGCATACTGGAACTCTTCCTGTTCCACATCCCTATGGAAAATCCGACGACATCGATCTCGGGGACCTGTTTTGCTCCTGCAAGATGAAGCAAGTCCCGAAATCCTATTCAATACCTTCCTCAAAGGAGTTCCCATTGGCGAGGCTATGATCGGCGAACTTTCACAACTTGTAGGAGGATATTTTTCTGCCATTGTTGAAACCATATGAAGTACAGTGTGTGCTGATTCAACTAAGATCTTATGTGCAACGCATATGTATATGCATTCCCATGTATGCACGCGTGTAACTAGTACATAAAGAGAAGCAATGTGTTTGTTCTTAAGTGGATACTGTCCTTGATATACTGCTTTCTTTTGTCATTCCCACTTCCAAGGCAGCAATGCGCCATGGCTAAGCCGAGTGTGATTAGCATGTCAAGGATTAGTCTTTCGGTGAGGGAACGATACGAACAAACGCAACTGCTTAAATTCAAGACCTCTAAAAAGAATATATTCCTTCTATCATGATTAAAATAAAAATTTTCAAGGATACACCGCACCGAGCACGCCTCCATCAATCCATGTTCTCATCCTTTAGAGCTTAGCTTTAGTGACTTCACCTAATTAATCCATCACCATCATAACCTAAAGAAAAAGCTTTGCTTTGCTTCAGAAAAACCCACTTTCCCCCCACCTCAGACAGCATAAGAAATCACCAAAATCTTTTGTTAGAATAATATCATAGATAATCGTTTTATATCAGCATCTTTTACACTAAAGTAGATTAATGGGCTGTTAAAGAAAGACTCCAGAGGACGAATCCTGATAGGGAGGAAAGATCTTGTGTACCACGATCGTCGGTGCCATGAACAATGCTTTCGTGAAAAACAGTGGCCAATGAAAGCATATTTAAATGCTGAGATAATAAGATTGTTTATCGGAATCAGACAAAGAATCCTGTGGAGATAATGTTGCACCAAAAAGGTCGTCGTAGTAGGGGTAATAGTCATTGCTCATTGACGTTTTGTATTTGGTTGAGGTTGAGTGTTTATTTGATGGCTTAATACCAAAATAAGTACTCAAACTATATCAATTTTCTCAAATAGTTATCTAAACTATTTTTTTATTCATCCAATGTCTAACATTATAAACATTACCTATTTAGGTGTTCGAGCCATCAACGGTGTTAGTTTTCTCGTTAAGTGATATGTGTCACAATATCATGATTTTAAATTTAATTTTTTTAAATATTAAAAATATTATTATATTTATAAAAAAGACTTATTCTCTCTTAAATCATAAAATAGTCCTTAAATCCCTAAAATCTACAAATCCTAACCTTAACCCTCCACCATCATCCTTTCCGGTTACAACCACCACCGCCTACGTAGTCTCTACCATCCTCCTAGTCATACGTCGTCGTAGTTGTCACCGATTAGCCGTCGGAATTTCTTGGGATCGTGATTTTCAATCGAGGGTTTGTGGGATATAAAATGTCGATTCTCTGTCGATCAATCACGATTTCATAGAGATTTTGGTCGTCGAAGGGAGGAAAGGTCGGGTGGAGCTTCATCGATGGCAAAGGGCGAAGGGCGGCTTAGGTTTAAGGGTTTAAATGAAGGTTTTCAAAGTTTTGGGTTTATTTCAAAGTTTGAGTTCTTTTTTATATATATATATATATATATATATATATATTTAAAATAAAATTTTCAAATTTATAAGATTATGACATGTTTCACTTATCAAGAAAATTAACACCATTGACAGTCCAAGCACCTAAATGGGTAATGTTAGGCACCTGGATGAATCAAAAAAAAATTAGACAGCTATTTAGGAAAAACGGTATAGTTTGGGCTCTTATTTTGGTATAAAGCCTTATTTGATTGCCGTGAATTAATATTTTGGATAAAGTACACAAATGATTTCTTAACTATAAGGTATTGTTTTATTAAGTCTTTTTATTATTGAAAGTTACAAAATGATCTTCTGATTGTAGAATATGTTTTATTAAGTCATTTGACTATTAAAAGTTACAAAATTGTCATCCAACTATTTATTATGTTCCAAACTCGTCTTTTTCATTAAAAATGGGGCGATTGTTTAAGCTAGACGTCAACATGATGACTGAAATATGATAGTCATTTAAGATTTTTAAATCATATTTTATCATATCACAATCAACAGGTTAGTGTTTAGCTAAAAATGTCGTCCATTTTTAACGGAAAAGGACGATTTTGGAACATAATGAATAATCAAATATCATTTTGTAACTTTTAAATGTCGAAGGACTCTACAAAACAATACTCTATAGTCGGAAGATCATTTTTAGGGGTGTTCGTAATTCGGTTGAAACCAAATTAACCGACCGAACCAAAATTTCAGTCGGTTAATTTTGGGTTCGGTCGGTTAACGGTTAATGATTTTTTTCAAATTTCGGTTTCGATTAATTCGATTCGAAATCGGTTAATTAACCGAAATTATTAAATATTTAATACATTATTTAGCTTTAGGGGCGCTTGAACTTCAGTTTTAACTGATCGAATTAACCAAATAAACCAAAAAAATTAAATATTTAATATATAATATATATTATTTATAAATTTCAGTTAATTCGGATAACCGACCAATTAACCGAACTTAGTTCGATTAGGTTAATGGTTAAAGGGGAAATTTTGGTTAATGAAATTTGGGTAATTTGATTCATCGGTTAATCGAATTATCCGTTTGAACACTCCTAATATTTTATAAATTTTAATAATCGAGTGACTTAATAAATAATACCTTATAGTCTGGGGATCATTTATGTACTTTCCCCTAATATTTTTTATTCAAATTTCTTTTAATTTAGCTTTAAAAATTGATCGCTATAAAAGTTTATTTGATTAGAATTATTATGTATGTACAATTGTATTATAAATATATAATTAGGGTTCTAAGTTTTATATATTCGTATGAAAGCTTACATAAAGTTAATGACTAGTGAAAGCTTAGTGGTGTAGATTTAAAGAAACCCCAATTAAACAAACACATCATCATTAGATTCACTATCCCACAAGTTCCAATATGGTGCACCCATAATAGAATGTCACTCAAAGCTATCCATATTGTAGTGACGGTCCATGCTAAATGGCATTATATAAGACCCCGAAGGTACGTGTACCCCAAATGGTTGAACGTCATGCGCACGTGGCTGCCTTTCAGAGTCCATGGACCATAGTTGAGGAGTTGCCTCATAGACAACAGACGGTTGAAGCCGAGAAAGGATACCCAAGTAAGTTGACATCCTTAAAATTAAGATTAATTGGGTGTTTGGATAGGGGAATGTAAGATTCTCATAAAAATGAAATTCATATTCTTCCGTTTGGTTAGTTCGGGAATCTAATTCCCGGTAATGTAAAATTATCAATAGTGGATTTTTTTGGGTATATTACCGGGAATGTTATTACCTCCCTTTCCTTAGGTATTGTTGGATTCTCGGCGTTTTAGACTAAAATGCCCTTAAAATTTTTGTAAATATCATTTTTCTGTCATTGAATAATAAAAAATTTACGAATGTTAAATTACAAATTTATCCTTAAATTATTTTAGATTTACAAAAAAAAGTCTATAATTAAAAGTTATATGAAGTTCAGGGGTTAAAATAAAATTTTACCCTTTCATTAAACCTTTTTATATTTTCAATTTTGTAAAAAAAAAAATTATATAAATTTTATGAATTTAAATTTTTTAAAGAAAATATATAAATATTTTCCAACTTGTTAAAAAACAAATATATAATAAGGACAATTTGATCAAATATACATTTCAATAATCTTTTATTCCTTTAACCAAACACGGTAATCTTACATTCCTGCTAAGCCAACCAAACACAAAATACAACATTCTTAGTAATCCTATTCCCTGGTAATCTTATATTCCCACTGGTAATCTTCCATTTCGTAAACCAAACGCACCCTAAGGGGTAAATAAACTGAGTTTCAACAAATAAGATTATATTATTTGTGTCCATTTATTTATTTTTAAAAAATATTTATGTTTGATCGTGTTCGTTTAATCTTTTAATATCGTGTTCGTATTAATTTATTTATTTATTTTTGAAGGTATTCATATTCTTGTATTTAATGTTCGCGAACATATTCATTTATATGTTTGTTTAGCGTTTGCGAACATGTTTGTTTACCATTAGTCGTTTATCGTTCGCGAACATGTTCGTTTAGAATAAAAGAGAGGAAAAAGATGAAAAAAAAACATTTTTGTATTATAATAGGAAAAATGATAAAACTACAAAAGTAATAGTTAAACTTCTTAGTATTTATAGTTTAAACTTTAAATTTCATCATATATTCAATTTAGTATATACTTTCACTAATATTAGAAATATAAAAAAATAAACAAACTTCTAAACGAGCTTATGCATGAGTTTCTAAATGAGTTTTAACAAACTAAACACACCAATGTTGGTGTTTGTTCCTTTAATAATAAATGAACATAAAATTTTGTTCATACTCGTTTATCTTAATAAACGAATATATATAAACAGTTCACGAACAATTCACCTAATGTATTGTTCATTTACACCCTTACTTATGATGAGAGAAAATTTAAGAATGAGTATTGGGTTAAATTAATCGAATTGATGAGTTATATTTTATTACTCAAATTATATTTTAATTTTTTCGAACCCAATCGAATATATACAAAGCTGAAAATTCCATGCTGGATTATTGATTTCTAGAATTGATGAGACTATATACTATTAGTTACTGTACACAGCTGCCGCTTATTTGTCGCCGTGCGGCAGTCCATTTCTATGGGAAACGGGATGATAAGCGGTAAAAGTATCGCACAAGCCCATTTATTAGGTGACGAATTAGATTTTAATTCTTCTATTAAATTAAATAAATTAGGCAAAATGCATTAGAGATCCTTATACTTTTTAAAAAACTAATGTAATCCTTGTATTATTATTTTCTCTTAATATGGTCCTTCAACTCAAAAAATAAACCCAATGTGCCCTTTAACCAACGTTTTTCGTCGTTAATCGTTACGGTGTTGACATACTGACCTGACAATCCATGGTATTGATCTGGTAGTCCATGATGGTTGATGACAGATGACATGACAGATGAGATAGTAACTCAAACATGATAGATGGATTGTCACATCAGAGTCGTGGACTATCATGTCAGCATAGTGAACTGTCACATCCGTAACAATCAACGACAAACAAATGTTGGTCAAAGAGTCACATTGAGTTTATTTTTTAAGTTAAAGAGTAACATTAATTTATTTTTTTAAAAAAGCACAGAGACATCTGATTTCTTTTTACCAATAAATTAATTCTTATATAATTTATATTAATGAAATTATTCCTTCAATTTAAATTTGTATCATTTCCACCAATAAATGTTAACTTGCAAAAATATAAAAAGGATTCTTTACCAAATTGATCCCTATAATTGACATTTTTTTTAAATTTGACATCAAAAATTTTATTTTATTAATAGTCTTAAATGTGATTACAATATATCATAGATTTATAATCATTATTAATTATTGACACGTATATACATCCTGCAAATAAAATTATCAGAACTCATGACTTCAAAAAGGGAACAACGCTCTTTTTAACCATTAAAATAACTCAATAATTCTTTTATTAATTATTTTAATATTTTTATAATATCATTGTAAATAATATTAATAAATTATTTAAATAAACAACAATCTTTAAAATAAATAATAAAACAATGAAATTTCGTCATCATCATTGTCATGGTGTATGAAAAATAACAATAATTTTATATGTACGTGTCTTTTTATTTATATATATACAATACATTAAAAATTTTAATAATTAGAGCAAAACCAAATTGGATTGAGGAAGATGGTCGGATTGTGGACGAGTCTCCGGTGGCCAAATTTGCTAGCCAATTACTGACATCTTCAGCTGCCTTGACCGGATCATGATCCAACTCCGATTCAACTGTGGTTCCTGCTGTTTGCAAACTGCAGCATCAGAGTTAATGCCACATAAATATATATATCAAATTTATAAACAAGCCATGTTTTTTTGTTTAGAAATTTACCTCGGACCAGTAGGACAGAAAGTGATGGTGTAATCGGCGCCGGTGCAAGTGAAAGTGTTACTGGCGTCATCAAAAGCGTAGCTATATGATTTGGGGCAAGCTGCCTTGAACACTTGTGAGTACATGGATGGTTTACAAGCAGCTGGAATGTTGTAGGCGTCTTTACAGCAGTATTCCGGGTTCCCAAAGGCCTCACAGGGGCTCCTACAGGCGCCGCCGCCGTTGATTCTCAACTTCGACGTGAACTTTTTATTCAAATTCGTCACGCAACCTGTAGTGGCACAGTCTCCTGATCCTCCACTTCCTTGCAAAGGCAAAGGCAAATTGTAACCATCGACCAGGCTCACGTCGTAGAAGTCCTGCATCGCCCCTGAACCGAGTGTAAACTATGCCAAGGTGGCTGGCGGGTTGGCCCCTGCTCCATTGCATTCGACTTGGCCGTAGCCGCAGTCGCCTGTTGTGCATGATCCGTGACCGGAATCATCGAAATCGTAGCCTGTTCTGCCCCAGAAGCGACCGGACCAGCCTGAAGGAGCTTGGAAGGAACGAGAGCTTCCTTTTGTGAGTTCAAAGCCTGTACTTTCCAGTTTTGAACTTCCTAGATTATCCAGAATTCCAGGCCATATTGTGTGATGGCATCGGTTGATGAATGTGAAAGTTGCAGCCGTAGCACCTGAAAACAGAACATCAGATTGGTTTCCTTACCAAACAGATCAAAACTTCACGAAATGCAAACAACCCAGATTCTGGAAAACCATATATATTCCCATTACCTTGAGGAACACGACGAGAACGAAGCTCAATAACGTGACAAAACAATGGTGATAAAAGGAAAACCTAACCATGGCGAATCTATGCCACTTATTACTTCAATTACTTATCTAAAATGTAAAGCTGAGAAGAAGACTACCATGCATAAAACGAAAAGCTCAACTGGTTTCCTCTTATCATTGGGTGGTGGTACCAGTAGTGGGGAGTATAATTATCTGCCCTTCATCTCCTGTATATAGCTGCAAAATTCTTGAATTGAACGCTCACACCCTATATTCTTGGTGTTTGAATTCGAAACCTTGGCAGAAGAAAAAAAGGAAAGTGTGGTCATCAATCTGCAGTGTCAGCGTCCACATATACCAAATCTGGGACTGTCAATACGAACATACAAGTGTCCATAGATTATTGCAAGGTCGTTGCGCTGAAAGCACATGGAGGTCTGTATTTCGTTCGGCAACGACCGCCCAAGTTGGTTGGTGGTTTCATTTTTTCTTTTCTTTCAACTTTTGATGGGGATTTGTTTTCTCATGCAACACGTTACTGTTTTAGATAAGGGTCACTTTCCTGAATTTGCGGGCCAAATTCTTTCCGAGTATGCACAATTCATGACAACCCCAACTTTTCCAACTAAGAAAGTAGATGATGTCTACTAATGCCCGAATTTTAATTTCGTTGGAAAAACTTATAATATCCACATCTTTCTTTTTGTGTTGGGTCGAATTGAATATGAATTTTTATTCTAAAAATTAGGTCAAGTTTTAGATAAAATAAGATTATGTGCCCGTTAGAGGGTAGCTTCCCTAAACCCAAATTTTTACTAGAGTTTTGTGTTATGACTTTTGTATCTATCCGACTTCTGTATAAAAACTTCATCTTAAAGCAGACAGTTTAGCACTTAATCACCAAGTTGCATGTCGAAATCTAATCTAAGCAAGTTGTCTGATCTAACCAAGGTGAATGCGCCTCGTTTTCTCTTTCTGAAGAACTGTGTCTTGCAAGAACAAAGCATTCTCTTGGATCAAATGAACAAGATGGGTTCTTTTAAAAACAAACAATGTCGATTAATATATGATGATAAGCTGATAAAACTTGCGCTATGCCGTGCAGATAAGATCTTTTCTATTCCGTTTAAACCGTCGACATCGTCGTCTACCTTTTCTCCATGTTTTTTTTTTCCTTTTCTTTTCTGGAATCCATCGTTCTTTAATAAAGCTTTATTGTCATGGTTTGTCACTATGATCATTCTTCTAGCAACAAAAAAACATTCTCCTGGGAAAAATTTCTGCCCCAATCTTTGTTTCTTTAGCGTTATCTTCAAATTTCCTTTTCTTATTTTCTCCATAGAAAAAAAGATTGTATAATGTGATGAAAAGCATACAAGTTGTTTTCACACGTATTCAAGACATTGTACGTCTAATACGAACCAAGTAACTTTCGTAGTAAATGAATTGTTGTTATTTCTGAGACTCCGAGTTCGAGCCTTATAGGTGTTAGAGTGTGAGTGTCCACTATCAAAAGTTTAAGAGTTATCTTTAAACATATATTACATTATACTTACCTCAGATTAATAATAATAATATTATTAAAATACATTATACGTCTTGGCATCAGACAACTGAAATGCCTTAACCATCTTGGATCGAATTAGTGGATACCTCATACGTTTAAACATATTTTTTATGGGTGAAGTATATGAATGGTCTCCGACTATAAGATATTGTTTTATTAAGTCCATTGATTATTAAAAGTAACAAAATGATATTCTAACTATATAGTGTTGATTTATTGAGTTTATCGACTATTGAAATTTACAAAATAGTCACTTGAGTATTTATTATGTTTCAAACTCGTCCTTTTTCGTTAAAAGTTGACGGATGTCTAAGCTGAAGGTTAACATGATAAATGAAATATGATACTTGTTTAAAATTTTAGGATCATATTTTATCATCACAATCAGCAGATTAATGTTCAGCTCAGAATGTCATCAATTATTTAACAAAAAAGAATGAGTTTGAAACATAATAAATAGTCAGGTAGCCATTTTGTAACTTTTAATAGTTGAAGGGCTTAATAAAGCAAAACTCTATAGTCAGAGAATTATTTTATAAATTTTAATAGTTGATGGACTTAATAAAACAATAACTTATAGTCAAAGGGTCATTTTGTAGAATACATCTATTTTATAACTTTTAATAGTAGATCTCTAGCAAAACTTTTTAGTATTCGATCCCGTTTTGTAGAATACCTTCATCCCTAACAAAACTTTTAATAATCGATTCCATTTTGTAGAATACTTCTATTTTATAACTTTTAAATGTCGATCCCGATCCCTAACAAAAATTTTAATAGTCAATTACTAGCAAAACTTAAATTTAATAACATATGAAGAAAAGAAATTCATAACTAGGCTATATTAGGATTGGATATATTTATTATAATCATAGAATTTACCTTTAAATAATCATCATCATCCAACAAAAATTAAATATATATTTTGATTTATAGTTAAATAATTAACAATGTTAATAACATGCAAAATAAATAAATATAGAACTCATGACAGAGTTGTAATCAAATCCTTGAATAAGATCGAATCTAAAATAGAACCCTTGTGGGATACCTACCCTCCTCTTTATATTCGAAAAATGGGAGGTCAAACAATGAACAGCCGATGTGGGAAATGGTGGTGGAATATGATGCCCCTCTTTTAGCTTTGCCTTGTCAGAAAATGGTATTATCGAAGGCCGGTGGTGTCTATATTTATCTTATGCCTTTGTAGAAATTCTTAATTTTTAGCGTTGCTTGAGTGTGTTTATCGTCTCAAAAGTGTCTGTTGCCCCATTTTTAGCAATAAAATAATTCCTTTCAAGGATAAGATCACCACTTTCGCTGAAAAAATCACAAAGGTTGATTGAACAATATGAATGCACGCACATGTGCATGAATATAATGCACTACTCTGATGCTTTTCTGAGAGCAGATTAGCGTGCCCCGGTGCTCTTCATTAGTTTCATTTGAAGAGAGACAAAATTGTCCAGAAATTCGAACACAATGATCTGCAGAACAGAATCCGTCGGAATCATGGTAACTGTTGTGTTCGTGGAGCTTGAACAAGCCAGGGGTGGCTTTTTTCCATCAAAGTTGAGGTGGAAATCAACTTATCCATGGGTAGGTAGGTCACAGATGCTTTGTGAAATAAGCTTTATTTGATGACATTATCATCCATTTATATGTTTCGAACTTCTTTACTTATCTAAAAATGTATGATCTTTGACGTAATTGAGCACTAAAAGGCTACTAAAACAGATATCGAAAATAACACTCCCAGAGATTGTTTTAGCTGTGAATTAATTAAACAAACGCTTAGCCCATATCAATACTTACAGCACATTACAATACCCAAACCCAGTTATGGTCCCAATTTTACTTGTAGCCCATTAGCTAAACACAAGAAATATTTTGATATGAGATAGGTCGGGGGTCGCGCGAACGCAGGCCCCCACTGTCACAAATAATGACGTAGACTCTCCCACTTGGGGAGACCTTAGGCGCGCGCCCTTCCCAAGTGCAATGGAAGCCACTAGCCTAGGCCATGAGCCTTGATGATCGCCCATTGACCCCGTCCAGGTAAGTATGTATTAACGCTCATAGTTGCCTCTTATTTATTGAGTCCAGTTTCCACTTCCTCCTCTTTCTCACTCGATATGGGATTCTGCTTCACCACGATTCTCCACCCTGAACACTGGTGGTGCTGAATAATCTCACTGGATTGCTTCTTTTTCATCCAGTTTCCCCTCACCAAAAAAACCCCCTCCTATTATCCACTCAAAATTAATCAAAAAAGCCCCTATATTATTATACAAGAATTGAAGGTGAAAACCTTCTTTAGCTTCTGGTTTTGATCCCACTTCAACTGTCTGCTGAAATGCCTCACGCGGCTACCGAAGCCCAAGTTGAGGATGGCGGCTCTGCTTCTAAGCCACAGCGTATCATCAAACTAGTCAAAACCACCGACGATAGCGACAAAAAGGTCCTCTCTTTTAGCTTCTTCAATTGCTTTGGTTGCATTTATCTACATTCCTACTAAAACAACGTTTCGATTTTTCTGGGTTCTTCGATTTTTTTGTAAGATAATTCCATTTGCATAATACCAGGGACATTGTAGCAGTTGTTTAATGCTTCATTCCTTTTTGTGAAGGACCTTTGGGTTCATAAGAACTAAAATTTTCTATTCCTAATTAGAGCTGAGGCATAACTCTGCTATTAACATTTGAAAACAAGAACTGGGAAATGTTGAATTTTGTTTAGTGCTTGGAAGGGTTTCCCCTTTTTAGTTGAAACCCTATCTTTTCATTATAATGACATTATTTAATTTATGTTCTGATCATTTATAGGTTACAAACAGGAGAGTTAAAGATATTGAGCTTTGTGTTCCAATTGTTTATGGAACTATTGCATTTTATCTTGGTCGAAAGGCTAGTGAGTAAGTATGTTTTTCCATGATATACGTATCCCTTTGTTTTGTGATTGAACAATAGTAAATAGCTATCTCCTTCAATTAGGTCGCAGTCACATAAGTGGACTCTTTATGTGCGTGGGGGCGACAAATGAAGATCTTGGAGCAGTGATAAAGCATGTTGTGTTTCAGCTGCATCCCAGTTTCAATAACCCGACAAGGGTTGTTGAATCGCCACCTTTTGAGTTATCGGAACGCGGTTGGGGCGAATTTGAAATCGGAATGAGCCTTCTCTTCCACAATGATGTTTGCGACAAGAAATTGGATTTGTGAGTTTATTTGGTTGCTTGCTAAATGTGGTGCCTTGGCTGCTAACTAGGCTCTATCTTTGTAGGTTTCACTTTTTGAAGTTATATCCCGAAGATGAATCTGGCCCACAGTCTACCAAGAAACCTGCGGTTATGGAATCATACAATGAGATTGTTTTCCCAGATCCTACCGAAGATGAATCTAGTTGAGTGAATTTTGAGTCTAAATTAGTTAAAATTATCCTTATTGCTAGAAACTCAGATTATTTTGATTCATATATGGTATTTTAGAAGTAATTAATGAGATCAAAGCATTTAGAAAGATGGGGGGAAATTACTTTTAGGAGTCTTGTGAGAAGTGGAATTGTTTCCAATGAATTGAAAATTTCTGGTATTTCTCTGGACTGCATCCCGTTAATGGATTCTTCGTGTTCTCTCGGTTACATGTCGATTTACGAGCGTGATTTCTATTGCGAAAGTTTTCAGCTTTACCTTGGGAGTCTAGATTATGTCAAGTGTGAGAGTGGACAGTTTGATTTAGTATTCCAGTGCATTTATTTTCAGGGCCAACGCCCAACGACCAAAGCTTTTTGTCGGAATGATTCTTATCCTCATTTTTGCTGAGGCTTTGGCTCTGTACGGACTCATTGTCGGCATCATCCTCTCTTCCCGAGCCGGTCAATCTCGAGCGGGATAAAGTGCACGGTTCTAAGACCCGGGTCGTTGCTGGTTGATGTCACTTGGTTGTCTCCTCTCCGGTTTCGTTTCATGCTGCCAGCATGGATTGTGAAAACATTTTCCAAGTTATCTTGAATCCATTAGTGAATTTCTTCAAGTGGTGTTTGTATGATTGAGAAGATAGATTTAATTTGGAAAAAATCTAATTTCCATTTTTCTTTATCCATGCATGTTGGCTGTAATTTACATGTAATTTGAATGTAATGTGAAGGCTAAAGAACACCATTGTTAATTTCTTTCAACTATCATCTTCTTGTTGACATCGACATAATAAAGTTCTCTTACTAGCTTTTCTCTTTTTTTTTTTACATTAAACGTTCACACTATTGATATTTTGTCTGTGTTACTAACTTTTCCTCTTCCACCAAGGTCGTTTGGCTAGTTTTAATAACTTTTCGTATTCCACATTTATTTGTGTTATTTTGCGACATAGGTTATGGCATTATTTATTTTCAAAAACAAATACATTATTTAAGCGTTGATTATTTTTAAATTTTTTAAATATGTGAAAATAAAGCAAAAATAATTAAAACACACGTGACAAATAATCTAGGACAACTTACATGTTAAAAGGTAAAATGTGTAAAACAATACAGATAATTGAATTTTTTAAGCGTTAATTATTTTTTATTTTTTAATTATGTGGAATTATATAGTTTACTTCTGATGACATGCATTAAATATAAAATATTATATTCCAATTACTATAAATTGAACTATCATTAAATACTGAAGGCATATTATTTTATTTTTTTATTATAAAATAAAAATATATAATAAAATATGCTTTTACACTATAAATAAGATGGAAAAATACAAATACAATTATATTCAATTTTTAAAATATTATTTTATTTATTCAAATTTCTTTTAAAAGTTTAGGTTTTTAATAATTATATTCTTAAAAATCTTAATATGGTTTTATACATAAAACTTGAATATAAAATATATCTAAAAATTAAGAATATGATTTTTTGAGCTCAAGTTAGAGATAATAATAAATCTAGTTAAGTCGGGATTTTGATCAATCTAACTTGACCTAGGAAGCATATCATTTCTATTCGAACTCGATTCAACCAAAATTTATAGAGATGTCATCCAATCCAAACCTATCTTTTTCTTAAAAAAAAATTAAACCTTATCGTATTGAGTTGAAACACATCAGATTCTGATTAAATTAACATCTATAACTCAAATATCATCACTATGGTAAATTTCCCAGTAAGCATACCAAGAGAGGGGTTCCTTGCTCACTAATAAAAAATTTCCCTTACTAAAAGAAATAATAAAAAATAATAATATCGTGTCACTGGTTCCAAATATAAAATGTTTAAATTTTCCTCACTAAAAGAAATAATAAACAAAAAGAATATAAAAATTTGTTCCTATTCATCTGTAATGTGTTGCATGTGTCAAAACACACACTCTATCTACCAGCACAAGCATCCCCTCAACTCATCGAACCAATTTGATTATTAGTGGTTCCTTGCTCCGATGAAATGCTTCGAACCCCGGCCACCGGCACATCTTGACCAGGTTTTGTACTGAACTGAACAGAAGGTGGTAGTATCCATCGCTTCCAATCATTCTGCCTCCTTATTTTATCACCCTGAAATTTAAATGGGAATGTGATTCAAAACAAAAGAACTCATTACACAATGAAGAAAATATAACCAAAGATTTCGTTCTGAAAATTACCTGCACTTCCACAACGGTCGAGTTCTTAAGGGCATCTACTATAACCTGGATATTATTTGTCAAAGCTACAATCTGAAGGAAAAAGAAACCATCAAAAGAAAGTTAAGTTTGCCCATATAGCATCAAAAGTTATCCACAAGCAAAGTTCTAGGTTCGCTGCTGATTAACACCATATCTAGAAAGCAAGAGGCATGAACATAACACTAATATACTCCGAACGCCACAAGAAAAGTATAACATGATAAAGCAAAAACAGTCCGTACCATATCAAAAGAGTGAGATGACGATAAGCACACTTATAGGAGACATAATTAGAACAAAATAAAACACAAAAAGGTCATAGCAATCTAATATTGGTATTTTCTGAAGATGACAAAAGTAGGGATGGATGTTAAACTTAAGATGTTGCTTAAGAATCATAATGAATCACCAAGAAAAGGCCTTAACAACATGAACTATCACAATCACGCAAATGAAACAACTTAAAAATCTTTGAAAACTAACCTTTCTAAACCCAGCTATCAGTTTAACATGAACCCAACCTTGATCGTCCATATTTTGACGCAAGAATGTATCTTTGATCAGGTTTTCATTACTGCAATAAACAGGAAATTAGTTTTTCGGTAACCTGATATACCAACATTCAATTAATTAAATATAAATTAGCACATAAACAAAGCATTACCTGAAATAATAGTTTATCTGATTCAATATCTTAGCATGCAACTGCTGGTGTTGAAAATCTGTAGGGAGAAACATTGGGTGGACTGGTTGAAAATATGAGACACCCCTATACAACTCCTGGTGAGGAGCTGGGATTAAATATAGCTGAGTTGAATATTCTGGAAGGAGACATATATATTAGAACAAACTCAGAGTACCACTCCTCTTCGCACACACCCCGAAATAATAATAATAAAGAAAAAGAGTATAACTTACCATGAAAGCCCATGGGAGGGCCAAAAGAATGAACATGTGAGGGAGCAAAAAGTGCTCCAGTGTTAATTGGGGGAGGTGGTGGCGGTGGGTGCCTCATAAACCTCGGAACACCTCTTGGTTGTATATCCCTATTAATAAAATTCCTACTATTCCAATTTTGGTTTCCACGGTATTGATGGTGTCTTCCTCCATAATTCAAATGATGAGAACCTTCTCCTCGTTGATGTGGAACACTATGACGAGGTCGGAATGAATTCTGTGGAGGACGTTGATCATTGCCACCGGTAAAAGGCACAAAAACAGTTCTCTGCACATTTGGATTCAAATTGGTATTGTGTCTGATTTGTTTCTGCGGAGAAGAGGAAGATGATACAGTTCTACTCCCCTACAATTTAGACAACATCACAAAAAGTCAAGTCTAAGTAGGCTCAGAATCCAAAACTACATACATTGATAGATATATTAGTTTCATATATAATTTTACAACATCACAAAAAGTCAAGTCTAAGTAGGCTCAGAATCCAAAACTACATACATTGATAGATATATAATTTTCATATATAATTTTGCATAAACCAATCCCTAAGGCTCCCTCTATTCATGCATAACAGTCTAATATTCAGATTACTTCAAATGAATAATAATTCAAGTAAACCCTGATGCCGAATTAGGAATTAAAAATCCCAGCATTGTCTGCTCTAGCCAATGTAGATTCTTTCCATTTAACCTATATCTCTTGCTAATCAAACAAATAATACAATCTATAAAACTAATTTTATTTTAACTTAGTTCAGTTAAACGAGTTAATAGCATCTATTAAAAAATAGCTTAAATATTTGAAAAGCATACCTGAGAAACGGGGACAAAATAAGAAGATGATCCATCCAATGAAGCTCTGGACGAACCGGAAGAGGATTTAGAAAGAGCCCTACCGGACGCAGACAACGGGGGCCAAACGCTAACCTCCATATCCGAACCAGACTCGGTAGTATCATCATTGGGTTTGTTCCAAACCGGTTTCTTACCGGCATTACTATTGTACCCAACATTCTCATTCCCTGTTGACGTTGACGACGAAGAATAGGACCCGGACGATGAAGGAACAGACGTAATATTTGAAGCCATATCAAACCCTAATTAAAACAAAATTGGATTTTTTTTTTTTTTACTCTTTTCCCGCTAAAGTCGACAACTCGATCGGACCAAAAAACCGGCGAAGATAGATAAAAAAAATAGGGAAAAAAAAAGAGGAATAGCGACGTAAAAGTTGCTTCTCGTCTCTTGTTCTTAATATTTTTTCTTTAATTTTGATTTCACAGAGGCTGTCTTGCTTAAATAGTGGGGGTTTGAGTTAATTTTACCGCTGTTAAACTTTGATTAGGATTGATTTTCCTAATCCCGTTTTAAGCTTTGACATTTATTTATCTAGTTTCACTACAACTCTAACTACTGTTTGTATTCGTTTTTTCAGGTAAATAGGTTGTAGTCCAATCAAAGTTTGCCACGTAAGCATATTAATCAGTTCACTGTCCCTCCGTAATCAGGATTCCTTGTTTTTTTTTCATTTATTAAAAAATAATTGGGTAGCTTATTAAAAATATAAGTAAGATTTTAAAATTTTAGTTAAAGTAATTATATTTATCATGTTTTCGAATCCACCTTTATGTATATACATTATTGATTATTATGAGTGATCTGTGATGTATATTAGAATTTTAATTTATTTTTTTACGATATCAAAATTTATTTCTTTTAATTTTATAAAAAAAGCCAATATTCTATATGCATCAACCATTTTGTAGACTGTTGTTCAACTGATGAACTTGTGTTCTCCTTGTAAGAAGAATTTCTAACTGATTTTTCTTTTAACTGTAATACCTGTATGTTTATTGGCTTTTGCAATTGTTGTACTTTAAAGCAGAATTTCTGAGTTTTCTTTTAACTGTAATACCTGTATGTTTATTAGCTTTTGCAATTGTTATGATTGCTTTGTTGATGGAAATGACTGCAGCCTTTTTATTGTCATGACCCATCATTTACTGTTGTTTTTAAATAATCCAGATAAAAGAGAGAAAGCCTGAACTTGCCAAACTTGAAACAGTAGATTGTGGGAAACCACTTAAAGAATCAGAAGCTGACATGGTATGCCCCCAACAAATATCCAACTGTTATGTTACTATTTTCAGTTGGATTTTAACCTATTTATTTGTGTGTTTTAGGATGATGTTATCAGTTGCTTTGAGTACTATGCAGACCTTGCTGAAGGTTTAGATGCCAAGCAAAAAGCTCCTATCTCCCTTCCTCTGACGGCATTTAAGAGCTATGTGATCAAGGAACCCATTGGAGTTGTCGGGTTGATTGTCCCATGGTACCTCCAGTCTGTTACCGTTGTTTTTTCACTTCTTTTCTTTGTCTTGATAATTTTTCTGCTTAGTTGGCCACACTGCATGTGTTTTCTTGATAAACCATCCTTAAGTATTATTCTTCTCCATTTACCCAATACTCGTTTGAGATATCTGCGTAACCTGGTTTTGTTTTTTGGTTTGCGTAAAGCTAGTTTCATCTGCTATATAGATCACAAAATGGAGTGAGTGGATGTGTTGGTCTTTAACTTCTATATCTATTATTAGTGGACCTAGTAAGTATATCAATTCACTTAATCAATTCTCCTGATATTAGATTGTAAACTTATTGTGGATGCTAGGGGCTGAACAATTTAAGCACGGTGCCTTCCAAAGTGGATTTATTAAGATGATTTATGTTGATTGTGTCCTACATTATTTGAGACCATTTAAGGGCTTTCCATGGTTTGGAATATTGTTTAGTGTTTAAGATTTATTTCCGCTCATGCAGTATTGCTTTTAGTGATGGGAATCTTTATCCTTTGAGGACTTAGTGCTGTACAGTTCAATGGTTCTTCTCATATTTGCTTTTAATGGTTGTCTTGATTTCCAATGACTGAAAATTTCTTATCTTTTGTTTTGAAGGAATTACCCGCTTTTGATGGCTATATGGAAAGTTGCTCCAGCCTTGGCTGCAGGTTGTGCTGCAATATTGAAGCCTTCTGAGTTGGCATCTGTGTATGCTTTCAACTTGCTTGCTCCAGTTTTCATGTTACTTTTCACTTTTCATAAATCATATGTGGGCGAATTTTGTCTTGATTTTTCATTTGAGATCAATATTTTTGTTTTCCTTTAATCTGCCTTTTATTTTTTTTCTCATTCCAACTTCAGGACCTGTCTGGAGCTGGGAGAAGCGTGTAGGGAGGTTGATCTTCCTGCCGGTGTCCTCAACATTCTGCCTGGATTAGGTACTGATGCTGGTGCACCTTTGGCATCTCATCCCCGTGTTGACAAGGTTAGATTGATTTTAATCATTTTCTTCAGTGATAGTTTCTATGAAATTGAAATTCATAAGATGTTTTTCAAAATAACATTTCAAAACTAATTGCTACTAGTTGGTTGCTAACAGGTTGCCTTCACTGGAAGCACGACAACAGCAATCAAGATAATGACAGCTGCTGCTCAAAGGGTCAAGGTTTGTTGAAGTTCTAGCATATGATCACTGAGATTTTTTAATGATCATGTGCATAAAATTTTCTTTATGGTTTTGCGGCAGTCTGTTACCTTAGAGCTTGGTGGTAAAGGTCCAATAGTTGTGTTTGAGGATGCTGACATTGACAAGGGTTAGTTCCATGTGAATCACTTTTAAGCCTTCATGTTTCCTCTATTTCTCATCAGAACAGATTTTTCATATTTTACTCATGAAACATCATTGCAGAAAAATAGTATATCTTTATTCAGTTGCTAATTTAGTCACCTGTGCTTTTAATAGCTGTTGAGTGGACCATATTTGCTTTTATAATGGTGGCCAAATCTGCAGTGCAACATCCCGCCTTATGGTGCATGTAAGTGCATGAACCAATTTTGTTCTTTATGGTTATTGATTTCATTTTTATTTCATTGTACATGTGGCATGAGGCTACGTCACGTGTGAAATTTATTCTAACATTATTTTGTTCACACTTGGCACAACTAAGAGGGGAACCATTCCAGTCCATTCATAAACTGATAAACTGGCTACATTAAGCACACTAGCCAAGCATTATTTGGGTCCGATTAGCAAGTCGTTAATCCAGCAAACCAATCCCGTATGAATCCCAATTCAAAAGGTCCACAAACACCAGTAGACCATAATTACTGTGTTATGGGAGTACACCAAAGGTATAAGCAGCCTACAGAAAAGAAATAAATCCCAATCTCATGGACTCTTATATCCTTCGTAGCACTTGTGGATGCAGTAGTTTCTGCCATATCTATCTCTGAGTAAGTAGGAAAAATATCTCTTTACGGGCTCCATATTTCATTGTTATTTCTACCTGTCTGATAAACTCCTAAAAAGGGGTTGTAACTGGTGACTATTCTATTTCTCGTTGTAGCTTCACGACCCTTCTTGTACTGGAAAGTGGTTGCATGAAATTTATTTTATTAGGGTTCAAGTCAAAGACATACCTTTGATCCAAGAAAAATAACACTATGGTTCTGCGACCTTGAGTTCTTGAACTAAGCTTGTAGCATGTTTTTTTTCCAGTTGTGATTATATATATATATTTCTTCCAAGTATTGACTAGGCAAACTTCGTTGTTTTTTTCACAGGAAAGTATTGCGGCAGAATTTTTGGACAGGCTGGTGAAATGGAGCGAGAAAATCAAAATTTCTGATCCCTTAGAAGAACATTGCAAGCTGGGTCCCATTGTTAGTAAAGGGCAGGTAAGAAAAAAATTATTACTGTATATTGTTTCATATTCTAACGGCAAAAGTGGTTCAATAATGCAATAGAAAAAAAATTATTCACATAATACAGTCGAACAATTATTTGTTTAAGTAGGGTGATTGCTACAGTGATCACCATATATTTCCAGGAGCACAAGGCGACCTCCATAGGTCTTCAGGAGCACATGGCGACCTATGGAGCTGCAGTGCAACAACGAGGGAAGAGTTGCTGCAACAGAGGAGGCTTTGTCGCAAGGAACACTTGGCGACCAATGAGGTCACTGTAGCAAACACCTCAGTTCAAGAAATAATTTTATTAGAGCCCTATATGAAAAAAAATTCCAACGCCCTACGTGGGCGAGGAAGCCTATTCTAACTATATATTTAAGTTGGACCATGGAGTTCCTTTGAAAGGACCATTTTTTGGGACAGAGGTTAGATATATAAGAACAGAATTGAAAACTATCTGCAAATAGAGAATCTAGCGCACATAACACATAGCCTAGGAATTAGGAGTTGAATAAGATAATTTTAAGTT